GAGAGCTTTTTGTCCCAAAATTGCAATATTTCCTCAGCTTTAAGTATATTTAAGTATAACCCGGGCAAAACAGATGATAAATTTATTACTTCGCAATAATTTCTGTTCAGTGGTAGCGTACCGACGACTTCAATAGTAAAAGAAAGCGACGAATTATTGTATACGGGTACGGTCACTCGTTATGGTCCGCAATCGGTTGCCAGCGCGAGTGGTTAACCTCTGACACACGTCGAGAGCTTTTTGTCCCAAAATTGCAATATTTCCTCAGTTTTAAGTACAACCCGGACAAAACAAATAATATATTTATTACTTCTCAATAATTTCTATTCAGTATAATTTCTATCATACCGACAAGTTCAAAAAGAAAGTGACAAATTGTTGTATACGGTTCGGTTGCTCGTTACGGTCCGCAATCAGTTGCCAGCGCAAGTGGTTAACCTACGTGGTTTAAAATAAATATAATTAAAGTTTATTAACCTACGTAGTTTAAAACAAATATAATTAAAGTTTATTAACCTCTTGCGCACGTCGAGAACTTTTTGTCCCAAAATTGCAATATTTCGTCAGTTTTAAGTATATTTTAAGTATAATCCAGGCAGCACAAGTAATAAATTTATTACTTCTCAGTAATTTCTGTCATATCGACGAGTTCGTAAAGAAAGCGACCAAATTATCGTGTACGGTTCGGTCGCTCGTTATGGTCCGCGATCAGTTGCCAGCGCAAGTGGTTAAAGATAGAGATCGGGCCACGATTTTCAGGGACGAGGCGAACAAATCCGACGGCAAGTGGCCCGATCGGTTAATTAGGGCTGTTGGCCGAGTGGAGTTGGCGGAGAAATTAATTTAGACGAGAAGCTACGTTCCTCTGGCCCTATCCGGGGAGCAGAGTGTGCATATACAGGCATGATAATAACCCTGAGCATCGATGCGATAGGCGAGTAGCGGCGTTTTAGCCTAATGGACATCCTCGATCGGCGAGGATCGTTTCGACACACGAGTGATTTGCAACGGCCGGATAATAATGCGGGAACCGGTTTTGTTTTCGATTATATATACGCCGATATCGGGGCGCGAGGATTCGAACGATCGATAAGTCACACTTGGGTGGCGGTTGCGTGGAGAAGAGACGAAGAAAACTTGGATGGCGGACGCGAGGTTGACGGGCGAAAGGGAGGAGAAACTACCGCGAAAAACGATCGACAGAAGGGGAAACCTTTAGGGCCAGGTTTTTACTTCGGCCAACCGGTCGGCCGTTGGAAAGGTTTTTCATGGAATCGCGATAAACGACGCGCGCACACACACACACACCGGCTGAAATATCCGATTTAATTGCAGCGAGGGGACAAAGATCGGCGCGTCGTCGTCGTCGTCGTCGTCGCGCGTGTTTAATTGCCTCCGCCCCGGCGGAGCCCATTTCTGCGTGTTCGGGCACGGAAAACCGGAGCATTCCGGCCGATACCCTTGTAAACGATCTTGTCCGCGCGCGGCACTCGCCTCGCTGAATTGTCTTTTGTGTCTACCTGCGTTCAACTGCGTGCAAGTAAGTTCTTACTATCCAGCTGCGAGCGCCAATTTACATATTTACCGTACGCGTACCTCGGGGCAAGGACGTTCCGCAAAACGAGCACTCGAGGGATGGCCGAAAACTCGACGAGTTTGCGGTGAAAAAGCCGCTCGAAATTCGAACTCACAGTCAGTCAGATTTCAAGTTTGGGAAATGTCTGTCCTTTTCTTGGAATATTCTCTAAGGAACGAAGGTATTTATTCTCGAACATGATGTTGGGCCTGACGCAGTAGTTAGAAATTTGTGAAAGGGAAACGCAAACTGATCCATCGGTGTGTCAAATTTTGCGGCTACTGATGAGGGACTGAAGGGTTTGAAAAAGTCATAGCTTTGTGAGAAGGAAAATGGCGGTCATTTGAGGGATGTTTTTCACACATGATACTGAAAAAAAATTCATTAGTTATACTTTTTTAAATGAATAAAAGTAAAAACTTAAGAAAACATGTAAATAAGAATAATAAAACAAATGAATAATGTATAATAATAGATGATAAAATGAATAAAAATTATAGAAACAATAATAAATAAAGATAATAGAAAATTTGAGAAACATGTGCTTGTGTTTTACGCTCATTGCAAATGAATGTCAAAGTGCAACGAAATTTTACAAGTTTCCTTTCAACACGCGTGCAACTTTGCTGAAAATCCAGAATCTCGATATGAAAAACAATTAAATTATTACGATGATTACTACAGTTATTAATGCAAATGAATTATTACGTTTCATTGCTAGACTCGTTGAAACAAAGTAACTAATTTCGTTCCGCCTTTCCGTGTCGCGAAATTTTATTACAAATTTATTGAACTTCATAACAGATTTATTATTAAACGAAATTTCATACGTCATTTATCGATCTTGCTTTTCGAAATGTTGGAACGTGGTTTACCAAAGCTGGTATTTTAGTACCTGTATTTGAGGGTAGGGTAGGGTAGACAGGGGTCGGAAGTAAGGTCGAAAGGGTGAAAGTAACGAGTTAAATATTTCATAAAGTTTCGGCTGGCACGATGAGATATTATATTTGGCGTGCACACAGTGGTTACAAAAAGTATCCCCGTTTTCCAATGAAGCGTCTCACACTTCGTTTCCGTAATATCAAATAATATGGAATGCAATGTGCTTGGATTTAATTAACTAGTAAGGTTAAATTACAATGCAATATTTTATTATAATAAAAGAAAATAGTTGTATGAAATTGAACAAATCATTTCTGATATTATAGTAGTCGCTGTTTCGAAGTTTTGGTATCTTTCGTCGTGCCAACCAAATTGCCAATCTTCGTTAGTTGTTAATCTTTGTTAACAGTTAGATTAACTCTGCAATAATTGGAAAAAAAAAAAAATAAAAGAAGTCCGAATAAAAATTAACATGTTGCGACATTCTACCTTCTACTTAGAGTCTTTCGCGTCAAATTTTCACAAGTTCACAAGTTCAATCTATCAATATTACACTTAATCTCAGTGCTCTCCAATTTTTCATAGTCAAACGCGGCGAAAGAGGAAGACAATTGGATGTGAGACGATCCTGACGAAAAGGGAATCGTCGATGCAACCGGTACGTGCGAATCGCATGATAACTAATATTATAATTAATTTAATTAATGTTAATTTATATATATATATATATATAAATAAATTAAATAATAATTAATATAAAAATAAAATTAAAAAATTAATATTTATTATTTAATAATTTATATTTAATTATTTTTATATTATTATATTTCATTTATTTTTATTTATCTATTTGTTTAAAAATAATATTGAATAAAAAATAAAAATATAAAAATAAATAATATATATATATACATATATTTATATTATATATACATATATATTTATAATATTATATATGTATATGTATATGTATATATACAATAATTATATATATAACTGTAATAAACGGGCGCGATCCCGGCTTATTCGAATCCTCGGGGAGGAATCTGAGGAGAAGGTCGTTGCAGGCAACCCGTTAAAATTTCACGACCACCTCTCGCGACGGAGAGTCGTAAAGAAAAAAAAAAAAAAAAAAGGAGGAAAAAAGAAAAAATTGAAACCATCGATCCTCGCAGCCATCGCGCTTCCGTTCGTCTCAAATTCGTCTCTTGTCGACATAATCTAAACTTTTCGAATCGCAATTTCCGTCCTCGCGATCCTGTTTTCTTTTTCGAGCTACGCAGAAATGAACACTTTGGCCAATTTAGAAGAGTATGCGAATTTTATCAAAGATTAATAACTCGAAATTAATAATCGAAAGCAGCACTACTTGTGGACTCGTTGAGAAACGTAAACTGTACATTATCGTTCAGAGTAGTTTGGAAACTATTAATAAATTCGTAAAATGTTCCAGATGATTTGAGGTTGAATACTTGTCGCGAAATGTCTGACATGATATAAAAGAGAAGAACAAGTTCCGACGAAATGTCGAAATCATTACAGATAGGAACAAAGATTTCGAACGAAACTCCTTGATATAATATTGCATTTTCATCTTAGCTCGACCATCCACGTATACGAAGCAAATATCGATGCAGACAATGGTTGTTATCGAAGATTTAATGGAAATTTGTCCCATGTAGACGAAAGCCCACGTAAAATAATTTTAAGGATGTGATTTTTTTGAAACGATTCAGATAAAAGACGCTCTATTCTAAAAACTTATGCAAAATTACAGACATATATTAAACTTAAATAATTCATATATAAACGTGCGTGTGTGTTTGTTGTTCAATATACAGTATACTCGATATACTATACGTTAATTCAATCTCAACAAATTAACTTTGATCATAATGTTGCGAACATAAAAAAAAAAGAGAGAGAAAATACCAATTTTCAATGGTATCAACTATCCAAATACAACGCAATGCTCACCAAACACGACACAGTGTAATACGTACGTGCAAACGATAATACTGTTGCGTAAGTGTAATATAAATACAATCGAATACAGTTTCTCCAATTCAGTCTTGCATTTACAGTCGATGAATATTGATAAGAGGAATAGCTGATGTTGCATAATAATCATACAAGAGGTTTCATCCGGGAAAGGAACGTCTGGCAACTGATACTAACGTTCGTCGATGGAATTTACACACGATGGTGGTCGACGGTAGTTTTTCGTAAAATATCGCGGGAAACGAACGTGTTTGAATCTCGTCTCGAAACTGACGAGAATTACCCTTTTTTTTTTTTATACAATACCACCGTACCACGTATGGTAATCAACTGCCGCGGACTCGCGTATTAATAAGCGTGTCGGTCGCCGATCGGAACGATATTGCGCCCCGAAACGTAGAAAAAGGTTTACACGCGGCTATTTGCGCAGAGCTCGGTATAAAACTGACGTCGCCGGTGATTTGCTACGAAATACACATCGAACCTTTCACGGTGTCGTGTCAGTAGCTCGTTCCAAGTATTCCAATTATTTCGCATGGAAATGTTCGAACCAGTGCTCGAGACGTTTGGCACAGACGGTGGCGAGTATCCTGACAGGAAGTCGACAAAGAGCAGAGAGAAGTTGGCACAAACATCGTCGTCGTCGTCGTCGTCGTCGTCCAGGTACGAACGGAGAGCCAGTCAGTCGCAGTATTTGGGACAAGGTCAGAAGGTTCTGCGCTCCACGGCAGCTTCAAGACGCTGCGAGACCGCTTTGCGCAGAGAGCCTGTGTACGCTGCACTTTCACTTTGCCTCCGTGACTACCGCGTGCTGCACATCGGCGGATTGCCACTTCGCGGGACGATACACTCTGCCTTTTCCGTTTCAGCCTCGAAACCGGCTGCATTCCCAACGCGTCCTCCGCGTTCTTCCATTTTATTTTGTCGGTATTTTTAATTTCTATAGTTTGCTACTTTCCTGTTTGCTCTTCCCCTATTTGCTCTGTTTCATTACTCCGACTCGTTTCGTACTTGCGCGCTGTCTATATATATATATATATATATATATATTTTTTTAATTGTCCGTTTCGTCTGTTTCGCTTTATAGAATATTTCATATTCCGCCGGTTTTAATTTTTCTTTCCTCTCTTTTCATTTCCACGTGCTTCGATTTTATGGGATACATCGTTTTCATCGGTTCGCGGCTGATTCCTAGATTCCAAAAGAGCCGAGCGTAGCCTAAATTTAGGTGGAGAAGAAGATTCTGATAAGAGGAAGGGGGAGGGGGGGGGGACGAGATGGCCGATAGCAGGCGCAAAAGTTTCGCCCCGGCGATTTGCAAAACGAGGCCGTTCACGGTTATTTGTAAACCGGCGGATAACGTAAGCGGTGGCATGCATTCGCATGTAAATTGCAGGCGACACGCCGCAAAGGCCGGACAACGACACTTGGACGAAACGCGGTGACGCGTGGTTCGATGCAACTTTTTTTTTTTTTTTTT